AACTTTATAATGCATACATTACAAGACTGCGACAAGAATGATCTTTCAGCATATCATCCAAGTTCATACGGCTTGAAAACCATTTCTAAAAATTGAGTTTGCTTGGCATGAAGAAGGCAATGTTGTGCTATTATTCAGAAACATAAATTATGCATTTAAGACTGGTGATTATCATATTAATGCAAATACTTCTAATGCAAATATCTTTGGTGGGGTGCGCTTTAATATCATGATATGTCAGTCACAAAGTCATTTTGGTTGTTTTGAATTATTGACTTGCCTTTGATGAAGGTGCCTTTATAATAATAAATGGTGGAAATTAGCTTTTAGATCTCGTAAATGTTCTTGGTGTCACATCTCCTTCGTGTTGTTTGTTAAGGTACATTTTGTAACTTTCTAATCCTTTTTAGGTTCTTGAGAAGCCCAAGAGGATGAAGGAGATGTCTTGTCACTCACCAGACAATGACACAGTGTATCTTATTGTGGGAGGAGGTAGGATAATTCCTTATCACGTATTATGCATACTGTTCTAGAACCTAATAATAATGAATATTGTAAATTACTGACCTACATTGCAAGATATTAGATGAATGCACACGTTGCTACAATGTTCTCCTTCCTTATATAAAGCCATGCAAAAGGAGCCCAAAATTTCATAAAATTATCAGTAGATTGGCTGAATCATAGATGATGAGTAGGTTCTTTTATATCAATTGGTTTGCTATGTTGCCTTTACTCACTATGTACGACTGTACATTGTAACATTCTTATGCCATATGATGGATCCCCTTTGTTTAGGTGGTGCTGCTATAACCTGTGCAGAGACCCTCCGACAAGAAGGTTTCAAGGGGAGGGTTGTCATGGCAACCAAGGAGCCACACCTACCCTATGACAGGCCCAAACTGAGCAAGGTCAAAATCACCTTATAAATATATGATGTTTTGTCTGATAAAAAAAGACATACTGTTGACCCATTAGGAGTAGTTGTTCTGAAACTCCTATTTAAAGGACAAATAAATTAATTACAGTTTAGGTGCCTTTCAACCCAAAATCCTATTTGCAAAAGGTGATCCATTGGTTTCTACCAGTCCTGCACACATAGGGGTGATATTTGACCCAAATCCATGTTCCTCACCTCACCTCACCTCACCGGTCCCATAGCAGTCTGTCCTGCCGTCGGGGCAACTAAACTGTCCACAAGAGTTATCCACCCAGGGCGGTTCTCAGCCAGACTTGTCAGGTGACTCAGGGGATGTCCTGTCCATTCCTTAAGGTCACTTGTCCATGTTCACGTTCACTTAAATATCATGCTTTTTATCTTTTATGTTTCAAGTTTCTAATATTAACGTCTTACCTTTTTCAGGCACTAGATTCTACAGGAGAGGCCTTGGCACTCAGGGACAAGAACTTCTTCTCTGTGTATGACATTGAAGTTCTAACAGAGAAAGAGGTGAGGCAAATGTTTGGGAAACATCATTTGATGGATTTTTCCTGAATGTCTTGCCTTTTCATCATTTGATGGAATTTTGATGCTGCTCCAGGCAGACAAAACTTTTGCCCAATTTGTCATCTTTCATGGACAAAAATCAGCATGTAAAGATATGGAAAGAGATACAAACTTGGGTCATGAAACAAAGCTTTAGAGTCTACCAGCAAAATTTTCACCTCAAAATGCAGGAAATAGCAGAAAAAAGCATGCCACTCGGACCCCCATGTCTTACACCTTCAGTGCTTGACATAATGTAACGTCAAACAAATTTTGAGATGATGGAAAAAAGTCTGACAGTGTGTTGCTAGGAATGTGTTTACTAACAGAGTCTTACTCCATTTCTTTCCCCCAGGCCACGTCTGTTGACTGTCCCTCTAAGGTGGTGACATTTGCAGATGGTCAGACTATAGCTTATGACAAACTCCTCATCGCAACAGGTGGCAAGTGAGTTCTTTGTCCTTTTTCAATTCTACTGTATACTCTAATTGAAAAGTCTTTAGACATAAGGCATAAGAAAACTTTATGAGCATTTTCAGACTCAAAAAATCTGAACTATCACTAATTTGGGAACCATGATTGACATTTTTCATAGTACATCAAGTAACAGGACAGACATGGTAAAACAAATGTGATTTCAACATTGACACTGGCCTTGTATCATATTTGAAACTGTTAACATCAATGGAAATCATATGACATTCATGAAAATGATTGTGCATGTTATTGAATCTTTGGAAAGCATTTGGTGTAGTAACCTGTTTTCTGCACGTAGTTGTACTGCAGAGAAGAAAAGCTGATCCAGAGAAAAGAACTTTGCAACGGAATTGATGTGCCCTATGTGGCAGGGACTGTCATTTTCATATAGGACAGTTCAGCCATAGCTAAAGCTGTAGTGCTGATATCAATTAGGATCTTACCATCATGGTCCATATTGATGGAAGGATGCCAAACATACCTGTTTGCTTTAATCACAACAAATTGCATTCGACAGTAACATCCCCCCTTCTCCCACAGACCACGCCCCTGCACCTCTCCTGGCAGTGACCTACAGAACGTTTGCCTACTCCGCAGTCCTACAGATGGCAACTACATCTCACAACAGGGCCGCGGCAAGAAGGTGGTCATTGTGGGGACAAGCTTCATTGGTACAGTCATTTCTACATCATTTTAACATAATTTTTGGAGAACATTGCAGAAAATTATTATTGAACCTTTATTTGAAGCTATAATACATAGATGTCATTTTAAGATTCAATGTTACATTTTTGTTACTCCTTGTACCAGTTTTTGTGAGAACGTTGCAGCAAATTCAACCCTTTTGAAACTATAAAGCATTGATGTCATTTTAAGATTTTATG